TTACTATACAAGTTATTACCTTGAACCTATTCGAATGGATTTCAGCTTGCTTTAAGTACATTATACCACTATTGGACATTTCTTCTCCCGTTAGCATCCTAAAAGTTGTATTTTTTCCGGCATCGTTTACGCCGAGTAATCCAAAACATTCCTGTGGCTTCACTCGAAAACTGATTTCTTTCACAGCCATTAACTTGCCATAATATTTGCTTAATTCATACACTAAGAAGAGACTGTTTCCGTCACTTAAGGAATCTTGTACTGAATTCAAGTTGGGCATCTCTGTGGGACTTGCTTCCAATGCTTTTTTCGTAACTTTTACACCTGTACATAAAGTCATATACAATTATATATTATTTACTATGTATTAGGTGTAGTAGACAGTGATTTGCTTTTTTTTTACAGAATTCAATCTTTATTTGAATAACATTAAAAATTCATATAAGCGCATATAACCAAAAAAGCTCAATCCCAGCTATTTCGCAGGTTTTTTTGAGTTTACGCTGTGTTTTTATTCAATAATGCCTGTAGTTTGTCTGATGCAAAATTCACAGTGTGTCCAGAACGTGGTTGATCTTTCATATCAAAATTTCTATTGCGAAATTTTTTATATCAATTTTAGGTATTGTGCGATTTACAGCATTATTATCATATGCAGTACAAATCATTTCGACAGCTTCAGCAGCATTTTTTTTAGATAAAATGCTAGATGGATTGAGTATCGAATATGTTTTTTAGTCATTGCTATATTATTTAACAACTGAATAACGGTATTGATCTTTGAAGTTATGGCTGTCCACACACCATGCTTTTTGTACTATTAATATTAACTTTAAAATCGCAAAAAGGCGCGAAAATATTTTAATTTGTAATGATGCTCTCATCGGAGCAAAACTTAAAACAAAGAATTTTCTACTACACCTAATAAAGACATTTTATATAAATTATAATGTTCATAAATTCAGTTATTTGACTTTTATGTATCGTTTCTTTGAAGATTAGAAAGTATCTTACTTTGGTTATTAATTTTATTAATTTCTTCCGCTACTGCAAGTTTCTCCCTCTTCACTTGATCATCCATTATATCTTGTTCTTTTCTTAATTTTCTACCTATTATTTTCATGAGTAATTTTGAAAACAGCTTTTCTTCCATTGTAATTAATAAAGCAGAATATAAAATTGGTGTTAGAGCTAGATATACTATACATTCTTCAAAACTCATATCATTTGTGAAGTCATTGAAGTAAGTTAATTGATTCTCGCACATTCCATCTACGCAATTCAAAGAATCTGAAAAGAATGATGAAATAAATTAATAAATCATAAATTCCTTAGTTATCATCTTACATTTGATTCAAATATTGCATAATCTTACCACGACGAAGATCTTCTTCTAATAAAAGGCAAATTGTATCCTGCAGATTTTTTGGAAGACGACGACACCTTGCATTTTGTAATGATACGTTGAAAAAAGATAGTTGACCGTGGAACAAACTTAAGTAAGGAATTAAAAGGAATATTCTCTTTTGCAGAATGAATAGCGGATGAAGCCAATCAAAACTGTGTGTTATGTTATGTAGCAAATACTGTATAAGAACTGGAATAATTTTTCAGATTTAATTTTCTTTGTAAATAATAATGTATTCGTATTTTCAAGAGAGTATTGAATTTATTTAATTCAATAAATCCATTGAAACTTTTAACATCTTTAAGAACAAATATTGCAAGTTTACCAAAGTCAATAGGTGCGACATTCAATATGGTTGTTACAGTGCTCCTTGATTTATTAATAAAACTGAATAGATATGTAAAAAGTAAAATGTTAACACCGAATAACTCCAGAAGCAATATCGTGCACACTGTAAAAGCAAGTAAATAAATATATAAATATTAAAATATAATAGTAATTAATATTAAACATAATTTAAAAACTTACTTATTTCTGTTATATAATATAGACGAAGATCAAGAATAATATCCATGATGTATAAGAGTGATAAAGTAATTACCAACACACATAACGTAAGTATCAGAAAATCAAAAGCGAACATTGTACCCCAATATAATACCGATGTGACACCGGTCAAGCGCTGGAGTTGTTTAACTTTTG